AAAGAGTTTAAAGAGTTTTTAATAATGAAAAAGTGTTAAGATTTTAATACCTGGAAAAGAGTTAAAGAGTTTTATACTGAAAAAGAGTTTTTTTGAGAATTTGAGAAAAGGCCATAATTTTGAGAATTTGAGAAAAAGTCATAATTTTGAGAATTTGTGAAAAGGCCATAATTTTGAGAAAAAGTGAGAGAAAAAAACATAATTTTGAGAAAATCCGAATTTTGAGAAAAATACAGCATTTTGAGGAAAAAAATTCATTTTGAGAAAAAGTCATAATCTTTAGAAAAAGTCACAATTTTTTGAAAGATTCATAATTCCTCCATCTTGTGACTGTGTAACTCCCTCTCTTGGATATCAGCATGTGAAGGACACTGTTCAGGAACTAGTTGATGCTCTGTATGTGATGACTACTTCCATTCTGGAGAGGATCACAGATACATGGATCCTGAGATTGAAGCTCAAGACGGGGACCAGGGATATTTTCCTAACATATGACTAAGTATATTGTACTTATGAAATACAGATGTTAAATGTGTGACCTTTTCTAAATCAAATATCAATAAAATGTAAGCGTTTTTTTAATACAGACCCAGTGCTGGTGCTCCTCTGCCCCAGGAGGCCATGGAGAGGTCGATGCCCATTCCTCTAAACATTGAGACCAGTGTTGACCCTGGACCGAGTGAAGGTGCATCAACCTGCAAGAAGATAAATAAAGTAGCAGCTTTTAGGGTAAGGGCATAAGATTTTACATAAAAAGTAATCAGGGATGGGAATGATTAATCGAATATTCAAAAAGATTCAGGTGTTCGAATATTAATTAATTATTTTTTTTTAATGGGAGGGGTGCCTAAGTTGATTACATATTATCAAATGGATGAATTAAATGTATACGACAGTGCCATTTTAAATATCTTTGGTTTCTTTATTTATTTGAAAATGTATTTATTATTAAAAACTTGAACTTTTATTCAATAAGCTCCTTAGATAACTTTTTAATGTATTCATTTGATTATTTTCTCCTCATAGCACTGTGAAGCACGTTGTTTTTAAAGTGTGCTAGATAAATGAAATGTATTATTATAATTAATAAATAAAAGCACAACAATCAATGTATACAAAATAAAAGTCACTTCACGCACACACAACTTTTTTTCTAACCTCTTTTGTTGTCGGAGTGGGGTCTTCAGTCGTGGGTTCACCTGGAGGTTGTTGTTGCGGCTCCACAGGAGGAAGGATTCCACCTCTTGCAACCCCAACCTTTGGCTCAGCGGCCTGGAAGAGCAGACCTCTGGCTCGGCCGAACACTGGATCAGCAGCGGGTAGAGCTAATCCTAGTCCGAGGGTATCGCTGGGAGTGGGGAAACCTCTGGCTCTTCCTACACTGAACCCTTCTCTAGAGAGCAGCAGTCCTCTACTTCGTCCCATAGCCGGCTCCTGAGGCTGCAGTCCTCCTCCGCGCCCCATCCAGGGGACATCTGGAGGCGTCTTTGGGTCCATGTCTCCACTTCTATTTTAAAACCCTCAGATTATCTCTATTACCACAGAGGGGAAATGTACATTGTTACAGCAGTAAAGAGCCAAAGACAGATTAATGTGAACTAAGCATGCATACAAAAATATATTAAAGATACAAAACAATGTACACAATTTACAAAAAACACATCCTGCAACAGTTCTGAGGATTTAGCAGCCAGGTATATAGTGCTCAGTTATTAACGACATATATATTGCACATAGTTAACTGCAGGGAAACACCCATGAACACAAAATAGCAACTGCAGTTTGTCAGTCATATTTTCATTGTACTACAGGGTTCATACACTTTTTCACCAATGATTTTCAATGACTTCTCCAGGACCTTTACCTAATTTCCCATGACCAAAAACATTACTCTTTATCAGCGGTACCACTGGAAATGGTTTATTTTAACATGGAACTGGAAAACAAGGGCTGCATATGAAACATGTTGTGCCTATCAAATAGTAGGCTAACTAGCTTCTACACGCTAAAGCAACTCAAATCTCTCTCCAGCAAAATACCTCGACAGCTAAATGCCATTTTACGTTTCATTACCATACGATACAGTATTTATTATTAGAGATGTCCCGATCTGATCACGTGATCGGGGATCGGAGCCGATCACGTGATTTTCAAAAAATCGGGGATCGGGATTTTTATTTTTTTTAATATTTTTTTTATTCAATGTTACAAAACAAAAATGACTATGTTCAAGTCTTAAAGTCACCCTGAGGCCTTAGTTTTAGTTTCAAATTACACAACATCATGTATGTGTTGCTTCTTTGGGGCTTGTTTTCATAGACCTGGTTGCTTATTTCTCTCAAATCTGGCAACAGAGTGGGCAGGGCGCAGTGTCTAATAGTAGCAGTAAGCTAACGAGTACTGATAAGCTTTATTTTGTTTTGATCCAATGCTGCACAACTGAACTGATCCAATGCTGCTGTGAAAGAAAGAAGCTATATCCATGTTGGATAGAATATCCAATTTAAATAAAAAAATAATCTTAAGGGACAACTTGAATGCTTTTTTTCTTTTTTTTCTCTTAATGCATTGCATAAAGATCGGATCGGGAAAAATCGGTATCGGCAAATTGTCAAAATCAAATGATCGGAATCGGATCGGGAGCAAAAAAAGGTGATCGGGACATCCCTAGTTTTTTTCATAGGCTATAAAAAGAGGTTGTATAAGTATATTGTACTAGAGAAAAAGTAGAAGTACTCAGATCTTGTACTTGAGTAAAAGTAGAAGTACTCAGATCTTGTACTTGATTAAAAGTAGAAGTACTCAGNGGATCTGTTACGGTTGCTGTTTCTGTCCGCTCAGTAATCTGCCTGTGAGTGTTTTCAGCTGTGCGTGTAATATGTAAATAAGCTGCGCAGTAGCCCTGACGTCAGTCAGGGCTACTGCGCAGCTTATTTACATATTACACGCACAGCTGAAAACACTCACAGGCAGATTACTGAGCGGACAGAAACAGCAACCGTAACAGATCCCAACAAGTGTCCTTTCTATCAGCTGTAGCCATGTACAGAAAAGAGACTAAGCAAACTCAAATTGACTCCTTTCCATATCTCTGTACACATCTCTAGATCTTTGTTTCATTACTGGTTTTAATTCTCTCACTTCTTGTCTTGCATTCAAAAGCATCCTCCAGAGTGTGTATTCAAGTTTAGTTGTTTTCTAACAATGTATATTGTGCGCACTGTCTCTGAACCACACAGAGTCTGAAGCGTTTATGCTCACTGTCAGATGGAGTCTTGTTGACGGGTTTTGGAGAATGTTCAGAGTCTGCAGATTTTTATTCTTCCTGGAGAAAAATGTTTTTATTTCACCACCGAGAACCTGTGTCTCCCATCTGTGTGTGTGTGTGTGTGTGTGTGTGTGTGTG